TTAATTGTTTTAACTTTGATAATACTTGTATAAAGTTTAATACTGTAAGTGTCTCCTAAGTCAGATTTTTATGGCTTTATATGTAAATATAACAAATTTTGTAAATGTTTTATGACAATCGATATGTGACACTTTTTAAAATAAATAAATTTATTATTAATATATATTTATATATATAAATGTATATTTACAAGTCTAAATTGAAAACAACGTTCAAACATATGATTGCATTGGATAAAAACCGCAATTTTTATACGTGTGCATGCAAAACAAATTTCTTGTTAGAGGGGTCTAAATACAGCACAAGCAATATTTTCCAAAAGACCAAAAAAGTGAAAAAGTATATTTTAACAAAACGCATTTGACTAACAGGTCGAACAACAAATGTTCTTAAACCCTGCTGACTGCCATTGGCGATTGCCAAATAAACGGATCACCGATGTAATAAATGGATCTTAAAATATTTATTTATCCTGCAATCGACCTTTCTTTAATACAAATACAGAGTGACAAATAACATGAACCGATAAATGTTTACTAGACGTTTATAGTCTCCTGGTAGCCTGCTTCTGTTGCGCGCGAACGGTTATGTTCAAGTTACTGTGTAAGTAACAGTTTAACTTCGGTTTGCATTTAAGTCATGTCGATATTCAAAAACGATTTGGATGGGAAACACTATAAGTTTAAGCTCAATGTTAAATTGCAGGATAAAAACAATATTGAATTTCGTACAATGTAGGAAAATATGAAATTTATTTATACTCGCTACAAAACAGGAGAAAAGCTCCGCGAGACTCGCTTTTTTCTCTGTTTCTAATGCTCGTCAAATAAATTTTATATTTTCCTACGCTTTACGAATATTATATATTGTATATAGATATAGGAAGATGTGGTATGAGTGCCAATGAGACAACTCTCCATCCAAGTTACAATTTATAAAAGTAAACCATTATAGGTACGGCCTTCAACACGGAGCATTGGCTCACACCGAACAGCAAGCTATAAAGGGTCCCAAAAAATTACTAGTGTAAAACCATTCAAACGGAAAAACCAACGGTCTAATCTATATAAAAACGAGAAACGAGAAACACATATGAACTACATAAACAGACGACAACTACTGTAATCAGATTCCTGACTTAGGAAAGGTGCAAACATTTGCAGCAGGATTAAACGTTATAATCGGTACCAAACCTTCTCCCTTTTCTGAAACAATAGTATAACATCACAACATAGAAAACACACTATAAAATATCAATTGGAAGGCTTAACTCAATCAAAACACGTAAATTAACACACAATGAACGAATAAATTTGACCTGTGATACCTGAATGCAAATACACAGTTAATAAAAAATTACAAGGGATAAATTCAAAAGTAAATAAACAGGTTTGAACAAAGTTAAAGTATGATATCACTGTGAAATTTCAAACAATTTATAGAAAATACATATATAATCAAAATCTTTCCAATTAAGGTAAATAACAAAACCAATCTAAGGGAGTCGGGATCTTTTTACCTGGTATGTCAGTCTTCTTCAGCGGAACCTTACATATATACATTTGTGAAATTAAAAAAAGATTCGGACGTCGCAAGATACTGGTGTTACTTCGAAATAATGTGCTCAACTATTCTAAAACATATTACAGAAGTTATATGAAATAGTTATTACTAACATGCTATGTATCAAAAGAAAGCTTATTTTATTATCTTGTTAAATATTGCAAGCATTATGCAGTGCGGTGATAAGGTTATGAGCAATAATAGTCCAAAGCTCGTAAAATTGTAATCTGTATTATTACATTTTGCATGATGGTATTCGACGGGTTGCAATAATTGTGACTAATCAATGTCTACTGTTTACAATTCTTCAAACAATTCCAACAGGAGGTACACACTACTTTAACAAATGTACAATCTTTCTGAGAAGTATTATGAATCTTGGTTGAAAATTCTAGAAGTTGAAAACTTTTACCTTCTTTCATGAGTTTTGCTCAAATATAAGTAAGGACTATTAGAAAATGTCAATGTGAAAATTTACTTGCATTTGAGTAAACAACTATGTAACAAGTACGTACATATCATATGGTTTTGTTCAAATCAACATGAATTTGACAATTTACGACGATTCGACTTGATAAATTGTGAAAACGGCAGTTTTCCTGTCCTTGCAAGGTAAGCTCATTGTATGTTGAGGTGATATTCGGTATGTAAATAAAGAATTATAGAGGATAATCTGCTTCACGTTCAATGGCAAATATTTCATTCATAATCAGGACGAGAACAAGTTTGATTATTTCTATACCCGAGTCAGTCTTTGGGGTCATATAATAATAGTTATATATAATAATTTCTTTTAGAACAAAGAACCGATTTTGGAAAAAAAAACATGTCCTAAAAATGGTCCTAAAAAAAATAATTTTGCAAACGGTATTGCAGATTTTTCAATCGCTTTAGAATCCTTCTCAAGAGGTCCATTTAATATTGCGGGATGTACAAATATAAATGTTCCTGTACATATAGATACAATTCAACTTCCAAGCAAGGACCGAAAAATCAAACGCAGGACTTTGGGACAGTTTGGATCCTGATAACCTTGCTTCGGAAGTTTATTTACAGTCAACATATGGTCACACTATTCAGATGTTGTCATATAGTTTGTATTCAAGGGATTAAAGTTGGGATCGACAATTTTGAGATGTCCGACTATGGTTTGATAATATTTTACATCAAATGTTTTGAATTTTATGCAGCATGTCTTTATTTTCAAATAGGAGACAAATGCATCACGTTATATTTCAATGTTTAATACTGTTCTGCTGTTTGATAAACGTAAGTTTACCTGATTTACTAGGATATGTATTTTCATATTAAATATTTATATTGACATAGACGAATAATTTGTAAATATCCAATTAACGATCGTTGTTTGGCAATAGAAACTTGTTGAAACAGGAAAATTCACCGAGACTATGTACTCAGTGTAACGTACTATGCAAGAAACGAACAATTAAGAAAATATTTTTTAATCAAAGTTATCTGATAATATTGATTATATACACATATTAAAAAAAACTTTAATCCAGAAACAAAACAGGATGCCAACAAATAAGACTCCTTTTTAAAAAAGAGTCACCAAGACTCGTGGGCACTGAGTCCTTGCACATATATTTGAATATATACATCGAACATAAATATGATAATTGTGTGATTATATGTTTTTTTTCCGTTTGTTTGTAAGCCATTGACCAATATTGGCGTAAAATATTTTAAATAAAGTAAAGTATTAATAGACATCTTGTATAAATGATAATCGCATATGGAAACGTATGTATGAAACACAAGGAATTAAAGGCTAATTTAATTATAAACGACATCCTCAAAGAACGTTGACCTTAATAAAGTCTAAATAATATAAAAGATACCAATTTTACTCACCAGATGCGCATTTTGACAATAAATGTCTCTTCAGTGTTGATCGAGGCCAAAATATTTGAAATGAGATAAAGTGTTTTATCTTGCAATCAACCTTTCTACTAAACAAACACAGGTTGACAGATAACATGAAGCGGTTTATAAAAAGTTTTCTGGAATCCCGCTTCTGTTGTGAGCGACCGGTTATGTTAACGTCACAGTTGAACTTGGGGTCCTCATCCAGTCCGCGTTTAAGTCCTTCATGGCTTCAATCTTTAGTTACCTTATTTGTATTGGATACCTAAGCTTCACAAAATTCCGTACAACAGGAATTGTCCATCAGATTGACAAAAATTCTGTCCGCAGTGAAAGAGGGTCTTCAGAAATACTGTGAAACTGTTTACTCGCGTAGTGGTATTAACCATATGTGGATTCTAAAAAAACTCTAAATATCTTCTCGATAATTTTAAATCTCGATCTTTCTCTGAAATTAATTCTATTAAATTTTTTGATTTATCATCTTAATTACGTGTTATAGTGTTCTTTTATTTGTCTTTGTAAATTATTTACTTTACTGTTTAGTCCAATTACGGTAATATCCTCTTAGCGTGGCTCGGTACTTATACATCCCGCCATTGTGTTATTGTGCTATCCGCGTCATTTTTTGTAATCTTGTCTTTCATTTTTGCTTATGAGCTTTGTCTACATGTCATTTTGCTTTTCTTTGTTGACATATTTGTTTTTTTTATAGTGATTAAGATTATAACACAATATTGACTGCTGTACCCCTATGTTTGACATTTTTTCGTATTATGTCTGTTTGTTTTGTTCACACATTGTTGTCAATATAATGGAATTTTATGCGACTGTCATACAAGTTAGAGGTTTAGCTAGCTAAAAAACCAGGTTTAATCCACCATTTTCTATATAAGGAAATGCCTGTACCAAATCAGGAATATGACAGTTGTTTTCCATTCGTTTGATGTGTTTGAGCTTTTGCTTTTGCCATTTGATAAGGGACTTTCCGTTTTGAATTTTCCTTGGAGTTCAGTATTTTATTTTTTTTTACTTTTTAAGTCATGTTTATTTCATTAAAAACAAATCCAACAGTTGAGGTGTATTTGTATACGATTATGCGTAGATATTAAATTCTAGGATAAAAAACTATTCGTACATTGTAGGAACATATAAAATGTATTTGTACTCGCTACGAAACAGGAGAAAAGCTCGACTGTTTCTAAAGCTCGTACAAATAATTTTGTATTTTCCTACAATGTACGAATATTGTCTATATATAAGGAAAATGTAGATTCCTTTTTCCTAAAAATATCATGATAAATTGTGAATTTTTTTAACAGTAGTTTGCATAATGATATCTTTGTATTACAGAGTCCAGAAACTTATCAGCATTTTTTTTTACATCATTCATTACAGTGAGTAAAAATCAAAGACGTAAACGTTCGTTTAATATACTGAAAGATGTTGGTCATATATTATTTCTGGCGATATAAATTAAATAGATACCGGATTTTATGTTCAGTCACTACCTGAACCGATTTTAGACTTAGACATTGTTTACATTCAATATCTAGCACACAGATAATAGATAGATATATATATATATATGACCCTTTAACTTTATATAACCAAATATACACTATGTAATCTTTCTCATTTCACTTATTAAACACCCAACATGGCTAGTGTATTGAAAGTACCGTTTGATGTTGGAATGAGGCGGCTGTTTTATGCTGTAACACCTAATGAAACCTCCTTCTCTGATGTTAAAGACGTACCGGCTTACACAGACGAAGTATGTATTATTTAACTTGAGTATGAATAAAATCTAATGGAGCATATTTTCTATGTATCTTTTTCTTACCAGATTAATGTAACTCTTCATTGAAATTAAATTCATTTTCCGTTTAATTGATTGATTGATTGATTGCTGTTAACTTAAAGTCCAGGTCGGGCCGGGTAAACATTTTATGCGTATTCAGTACGAAATTATAACAGGTACGTTGTGCAATGTTGGTCGACAGGGATGCCAGGCGGTAATTCGACAGCCACTAGAAATTAATGGCATATTGGATATAATTGGCCTTGCATCAGGCCATCTACGGATTCACCCTTTAAAGTGTTAGGTGCAACAGTTCTTCAACGTCTAGAATGTAGGATTTAACGTCCATATTCACTTGAACGTGTCTGCGTATTTATGCATCCCGCATAGAAAACACATGATTTGATTGGAGAAATATATGTTCATTGTTTATTAAGAAATGCACATTTATAGCCCGAGGGGTTAAAGGCAAACAATACAATAATATAAACAATGCAAAAATTGATATGAATGACCTACTTGCTACACCACATGCAGGTAACCCTTTGTGGTCCGTTTACTAAAGATATTTTCAAACCAATATATACTAATAATAATGTTTTGTTTGTTTTTCAGTCCGGACCATTCTTCTTCGTTTTAATATTCCTGGAGTTGGCCATTTCAGCTTACAAGAAAGATGGAAAGTACAGACTCGGTGATAGTATCACATCCATTAGTGCTGGAGTAATTTCTAGATTTCCATTGTAAGTTTTTAGGCTTTACATCGAATATATCATTTATTCTGGTGACCTCATAGATGCAATGCTTTATTGGTTTATTGTTGTGCGTTTAATATAATTACCACCAAAGCATTGACTTCGATATCGAAATGTGGTCATCGACTTTTGTCAAACCCGACAGTAAAACCAATGCTTATTGCGCCTTTGGTTGTCTTGGATTTATAAATACGCAGTCACGGCCGGTTAGAATGGGGACGTTAAATCCAATGCCTCGCATAGAGAGTGACATGCTCGCTGCACTTTAAAGTTCTTTTGCAACAAACCATTGAGTTGACCTGTCTTCTCGCTATAAAACAAACCCTTCTCCTCCCAGGACAGTCAACTTTCCTGTTCATTATTATTTCACCATTACGTTAAACAACAAAAATCAATCAAAAATATAATCAAATATACAGTTAGAAATGTATGGAATGTATTTATAAATTGATTCAATATGCATGTTGTTTACAGATTTAGCAAAAGTCCGTTCCTCGTTTTTTTAAAACGACAAAATAATAAATTGTCAATGCATAAATTACTTGATAAAAAACTTGTATCCATGTCTAAGGAGTGTTTTGCCGCATCTAGTCCTTTTAGGTACAAATTTTGTTCTAACTATCTGAATGAAATTCACGTTGAAAAAGAATGGATCATACATCTTAGCTGTATTTGGCAAAACCTTTCGGATTAAGGTGAGTGTAAGGTACTCCGAACAAAATATTCAACGAGGCGCATTAACAAATAGTCAAACGTAAACAATTAGGTATATATATATATACGTCCCCCAATATTTGGAACAAATAAATATAAAAATTTTAAATTAATGAAACAAGTCTTATTTTTCTACCTATACAATCAAGTACATTTAGACTTGGTCACAACTCTGTCTATTTGCGTTCCATTAGGGTTTCATTCTTGGATGATGTTTTGTGCTTAAAAAATGCTATGCTCCAAAAGCTGAATACATTTTAAGTTTAGTTCTGGAAATTTAAGTGGGAGTTGCCTTCTTGTAATTGTTATACATGATCATATATACATATACAAACGTATCGTATTTATTTATACAGGTACTTACGTATCATGTCGATATATGTTATACATTTACAAACATATCATATCGATATTTTATATGTTTGTTCCAATCAACCTCCATCCGATTTTGTAAAATAAAGGTTAAAGATGTTAGAGGATCAGAACCTCAAACCCTAAGGTTGTAACTCAATTCCAGAATTGTTTAAACGTTTTCGTGGAAGTTGCGACCCTAGTTTTATTACAAGACTAATTATTATACATAATTTGCAAAAAACAATTAACAATCAAAATGTACGATTTGCTTGGTCGATGCGACTACGTCACCAGGTATTACCAGCCCAGTACTACATTATAACATGTAGAATTTGATTTAAGAGTAATTAAGTTAAAACATTAGTGTTATCATAAATACAAATAATGCAACTCAATGAACTGTCAATCTTTTAGGTTATTTGTAAAAGCCATTAGTCTTGTGGCGTATATGTGGGTACATGAGCACTTCAAAATATTCCAGTTACCATGGAATTCACAATGGACATGGTGGTTGTGCTTTTTAGGCGTTGATTTGGGTTATTACTGGTTCCATAGACTTGCACACAGTAAGACTGTTTTCGGAAGATCTGATAGGCTTATAGTTTCACGTGGTTTTGAAACAGCCTGCATATGATCATTCTTTGTGCTATTTGTATTGGATATATAAACACGCTGTCACGTCCGGTTAAATTCCGAAAGTCAATCCTGATGCTTCTGGTGGAGAATACCACACTTTGCACGTAAACGAACTATAATTACTATGTGAATGGTCTCTTGCGAGATAAAAAAAAAAAACAAATAAAACTGCCACTATCTAACTTACTCTTGAATTTTACGTTGCAGTCTAAATTCTAGCGCCCTTCTTCCAGATCGACCCACTTTGCAGAACCCACCTATTGAATTGATTGTTCATTTCTGGACGTTGAGTAAGCTTAATAAATCAATAAATCTATTTGAATTTTTTTAAATTAGGAAATCAATGATCTTATTATTTTTTGCGTTCTGCTGTTTGCATTTGTAATTAATATTAATATTTTTTTTGTATTAGAGGTGAATTTTATGTGGGCAGCCCATCAAGTACACCACAGTTCAGAAGACTACAATCTAGCAACAGCCTTACGACAATCCGTGTTACAGAGTTATACATCCTGGGTGTGTATACTATTGACAAAACGTTGAAATATGGAAATACATTGTCCATATTACCAAACATCAAATTAATTACTTTAATTGCATAGGACGTTATTGCTACCTAAAAGACAGATAATATACATGTCACTGCTTCAACGACGTAGTTTGAAAATATATCAAAAATAAAAATAAAAAACAACCAAAGCACAATGATTAAAAACTAATACAAGACAGGATAAAAAAAAAAACAACGTAAGTCCTGGCAATATTAACTAATACGAAAAATAATAAACAGAATATAAGTATGTTCTGGATTTTGTTGCTTCTTCTAATTATCAATGTCGGTAAAGAGTCCCATACCAGATTTCTTCAAACAATTCGTCTTTTATGTAACATATAAGACGAGTTAAACTAGAGTTATCCTTCCTTTTACGTCATTTGCTGTACACTGTTTTTGTTATTTAATATATTTGCAGGTGTTTTATCTTCCCCTTGCCTTATTTATTCCACCACAGATTTTTATTGTACATCAAGAGTTGAATATCTTATATCAGTTTTGGATACATACACAGGTATGGGTAATATTACAATTGTGTACCACGAGTAGCAAGCTAAAAAAAGGCAATTGCAGTCCGAAGTTAGCTTAATTGAAATGAAATATTTGGAGCTTTATCATACATAGCTTGTTTATTGTTACTTTGTCCGGGTCTGGTTATACATTTTTGCAATTTTCGGTTATATCAGATCACCAGCGTTTGTATCATGTGTGAACTTCTTGATTTTTAAATATTTTGACCTCGAGCTTCACTTAAGGTGGTACCCAACACCTTGACTAATATTAATTTGGCTCGTTTAATTTTCATAAAATTTTGACAAAATGTTTACTTTGACCCTTTGACAAAAATATAAAAATTTCAAAAAATTTGAACCAACCACTTTATCAGAAAAATTTCATTGGTTATATAGCAGTTTGACAAACACTAATTTTGATCATTGAGAAGCTTAATATTTCCTTAACAATACAACGTGATTAAAACGTTTAGCTGATTTTTACAGAGTTATCTCCCTGTAGTGTTAGGTACCACCTTAAGAGACATAAACTGTCGAAATGTGCATTTGATGCAGTACAATTGGTACAATGTAATGTTAGTAGCTTATTTTAGGTCGATAAACGTTTAAACATGAATACGTTTAAAGGCGTTGGTACAGATGTATACACATTTTGTTAATCTAGGAAGATATCAATGGGATTTTTATGTGTACTATAGAAACCTAAAATAACAAAAACCATAAGCGATTTAAGCTTTACACATAAAACCAGAATTTCGCAGAATATTACAATAACACTGCTAAACAGAATAGACAAAAACGTCTTGGGTTAGATTTGCCTTAGAGAGGTTCAACTTTGGTTTTAGTTCAATTACATAATTTATAAACTAAAACTTCCCGCTCAGAATATATCATTTAAATCATACGACCATGCTACTGGGATGAAAGTTTCCATTGTAAAACTATGTCATAAAGTTATTTGATCAATTTGAACAATTTTTTTAATTGAAAACAGAAATATGATAGGTAAAAATGTATAGACTATAAAGAATTAATTTTGCTGTGCTTGCCTCGGATGCAGGAGATCATGGTTCGATCAGCGGATGGATCGACTCAAAAATCTTCCATTTATATTTCCTTCTTCTCGTCTAAGCATGCAGTAATGAGGAATACTAGCATAAATCGGTGGTCTCGGAGACCAATTACTTCCCACATAGGTTGGTATTTCGAAACACGGACACGTTAAAAATCCGACTCGGTCTAGATCTTTAACAATGCAGGGCCGGGCTTTTTCAGCACATGTTATCGTCCTGTATAGACATATACATGTAATATTTGCAGCTGAACGATACACATCCTTCAATTAATTCGTCAATAAAACGATCAGATATTGGGAAAGCTGTTTTGTATGAAATTTATCAGTCACTCATAGTTAAATTGAACAAAACATACAATTGCATCATTATTTTTTTTTATTGCGTCATAAATTATTTGGAATTTCTTAGGAAAGAAATTTTTCCACAAATATGATCGAAGTTGTGAATGAAATGATCCATTTACAATGATTTTTTCCAGTACATAAAATCCCTCGGGCCGTTGGAATATATACTTAATACTCCAAGTCACCACAGAGTACATCATGGTAGAAATCGTTATTGTATTGACAAGAACTATGCTGGAACCCTCATCATATGGGACAGATTGTTTGGTAAATAAGAAATAATATTTTAGATTTTATTAATGATTATGTCTCACGCAAAGATTGTTGGGTAAATAATTGTTTTTTTTTATTAGTTTTCAATAAATTACAATAAATCACGCACGTTTCTTTGTACCAGCACTTGATCATGACAGCAATAATTGACAAACTAGATTTATTTTTGTTATGAGAACCGTGTGGACATATCACATTGACAGATATATTATATATAAATAGATGGCTATTTATTACAATTGATAATTAAGTAACATACTTGACCCATAGATGTATATTTATACATCTATGCTTGACCGGATTGAAACTGCAGTTTGTATTTTTATTGTATTTTTGCATATATTGGAAATGATCTACAGATATATAAGACATGACAGGTAAAAATGACAAAAACCTAAAAAAAACTAATTCGAAACCAAACTAAAGACAAAGACGAATGAAAAATAGTGATGAAACTAACACAAAGTAATAAAAAATAGGTAATTATATAAACATGTGGAAAACACTTTATAAAGCTGGTAAAAGAGAAACAAATGAGATCAATTAGGAAGGCTGCAGCTTCGCAACTAGAGATGAAAATTAGCATGTATAGTTCACGTTTAGCTTTCACTAATGCGCAGATGCATGTTTAATGCAATTAATTTTATGTCAATCTGAAAGGATGTAACATTGAACGTTGATTAAAGGAATTCTAACTAGGTCAACAGTTGAATTCATCTTCGGAAAAATTCGTAACCGGTGCTGATGATTAATCAATGAGATCTCCATTGATCTCTATCGGGAGAAGACGCTGGAACTGTCACGATATTTTGTTTAATGCAGGATTATATTACGAATCCCGGTGTTTAAAGCATGTAAAATTATCATTATTCGATATGAACTTCGAAATGCGACACCAATTTGACTGTCTCTTAATAAAAATTGACAGCCCATATGGCTTTAGATAATAGCTGACCGCTAAAACCAAAGTAACACACAAAACAACTATATATTATAGGTTTGGATATATATCTAAAAATTCGTACAGTGATTTTTAGGGAAAATGTCTCTTTAAAATCTATATTATTTTTAAAAAGGAACGTTTGAAGCAGAAAATGAAGAAGTAGTATATGGGCTTACCCATCCTTTAAATACCTTTGATCCAAACTACGTACAGGTAAATATATTAATATTTTCAATATAAAGTAAAATATATGTACTTGTACAACGAGATACAAAATACATCTTGTTTTAAGACGTCAACGTACAATCAACAGTAAACAGATAATTATACAATATTTCAAGCACTGAATGGATGACTGTAGTTAAGTTGTAAATTAATATAACTATGTGTTATCAGCACGAAACTCCCTAAAGAAAACAAAAAACAAAAAACAAAACAACACAAAAACATGGATATAACTAAAGAGAACCACCGAGGTTCCTGACTTGAGACAAGCACATAAACATGATGTTTTCAGGTCGGTTTGTCCCCCCCCCCCCCGTGCGGGATATGTTTGTCTTTCCCGTTTGAGGTTAAAGTTTCGATTTGAGGTAGCAGCTGAGGGTTCACCACAGAATGAAAATCAAGGGTGGGGAGAAATGTCAGCAATTCTAAGAGGATATGTCGCGTTCATTTGCATGAGAAATATATGAAAAATTAGTGTTTTGACCCAGATTTTTACAGTCCACTGATTGGGTTAAAGTTTTGGTTTAAGGTAGGTTTCAGGTGTGAATTAGGTAGATTACCATGAAATTGTAGTCACATTATCTTGAAATTATTGTTGTGTTTGTCAAATTGGGGTTTTTACACTGATTTCACGGTTCATTGATCAGGTCAAAGTTTTGGTTTAAGGTACTTTACAATAAAGTTGTGGTCATATCAACTTGAAACGTATACATGTACACATATAAAAATAAGAAGATCATGGTATGATTGCCAATGTGACAACTCTCCACAACAGACCAAATGACACATAAATTAACAAATATAGGTCACCGTACGGCCTTCAACAATGAGTAAAACCTTTACCGCAGTCAGTTACAAAAGGCCCATGTTTACTCTGAGGTGAAATTTTGAAATATATGCTAAATTAGTGTTTTGATCCATATTTCATGGAAATTTAATAGTGCAAGCAGGGCATATTGTCATGTGGACACATTAGAATTGTTGTTTTTAGGTCTCAATCCTCCCTGTTTTATCCCTATTAGTTGAACAAATTGATTGTGACTACTATAAGAGGAGTGTTGCAAACAAATTTGAATATGTGTGTCTGAACTGAACAATACATATGCTAACTTCCTGTTTACAAAAAACGGCCCCGCAGTAACCTATTGCATGGAGTTAAAGAATGATACCTCTTAAGATTGCATACTGCTATTGCTATATGATTATTTATCATATATTTATAAGTAGAAAACACAAAGTGAATTTTATATTGCAGATATAATGTTAATTATCACAAATCCAGACAATAAGTTTTTAAGTGAATTACTTCTTTTTATATGAATATTTATCACGAGATGTGTTGCATGTAACATTTTCCCAAATCATTTAAATCAAGTAAGCCGTAAAACCCGTCCTGAGAGTTAGCGTGAAAATACCTACAGTTGTTGTATTAGTCACCTGTGGATTCTAAAAACATCAATGATCTACCCTCATTAGATAGTAGTTGTCTTTTTTACATTTTTACTCAAGCGTTCCTCATTGTTATCATAAAGACAGATTAAAATGATTTGTTCAACTTACTATTATATTTAAAAAAAAATGACATTCATATACTATGTTTAAAGAAAGAACACATCTTATATTGAAAAACTCTCACTTTGATTAAAAAAAAAACTTAATTTAAAACCGACTTGATCAAAATGCTTGATTTCATTCATTGACAACATTTTTCTTACGTTTGGTGGTCATATTTTTTTTTTAACAGACGATCGGTATTCTAAGACCTATACACGGCGACTTTTTCCTTTATTCGTAGGATACATATTTCATTAAAAAGCTTCTCAGAAGAATGATAAGCAGCTAAAATTATCATATAATGGTAGCGTCCTCTAACTTAATATTTCAAATTTACGTGGCCATGGTTATTGCATATGTCCAGTTGAACTTTAAATAAAGGATACCAAAGATACACTGCTTCTCTCTCATACTTTTGTTTTCTTGTTAATTTCCTTATGCGCATTTTAATCTTATATTTTTTTTTATAGTTTTGCCACGCCAAGTATACTTTTCGACGGTTTTTGGATACGAAGGGAATAAAAAACAAATTAGGTGTGTTATTTTGTGGACCAGGATGGGACCAAGGAAAACCTAGAACAGGATTAATTGAAGATATCCCAAACGTAAGTTTTTTTCGACTCACTTCTGACAAATCTATTTTATTTTCAAAAATCAAGGGTCGTTATGATTTATCTTTATTTAATAATGCTCGCTTTTGTTGGAGCATTGGTGATCTCGAAAGATTGCATACAAACTAACATAATTAGTTGGCTCTAGATCAATTTCTGGTTATATCTTTTAAACGCAAATTATGTCAAAATTGACAAAAAGATTAAATATAAATGTTTACAATTTATGCAGAATAGTTCCGAATTAAAAAGTTCTCCCAAAAATTTCATTGATCTTAATTTACGTTTTCAAAGTTCTGTTCTTTTTAAATATTAGAAAACACATGACCTAGGTCAGTAAAAGTTAAGCTAAATATAAGCTCAAAATCACATTACAGAACTAAGCCTATACTAAGATAGATATAAATATTACCATATTTGTTTTATATACATTTATATATTAATACATGTATATATATCAACTTTTGTAAATATTTTACAGGTTAAGGCACCACATCCAAAGTATGACCCAAAGCATTCTTTGATAGTTAATATTTATGCTGCTGTTCACTTTACAGTACTACTGATAATGAACCTTGAGCTTGTAACACAGAAAGGGGTAGGTATAGTACATGAGTTATGTTCTGTAGTAAATACAACTTTACTTTTTGATACATGCTCAACATGCTTTATCTGATCTGGCAGAAAAAAGACATTGTGTGCTCTCTTATTCTTCAGTAAAGTTACGTGATCATTTTAAAAATAAATATCAACTGAAAACGTGATATAATTCAGTCTTGTCCAATCCCTCAAATGTGTCCTGTCGACGCTACTGTATGCCCAAACATGTCTAGTTTGTGTAGGACGTTTAAACGTGTCCTTTCATAAACTCCCAAACGTGTCCATTTCTGAAAACGACCAAACGCGTCCACCTCTTTGAAAGACTATACGGTTATCACGTACGTCAATGGTTTGAAAACAAATCCAGACAGGTATATTTAATGGGACATTAGACCAAGTTACATTAACTGCGTAAATTGCTTGTTTACCTCAATTCATTAATATTTTAAAAATGACGTTCAGTATACGTCAATATGTCAATGATAATATGCGAAGGCACACAAATTTGATGTCTTTAATGAACAAAGTTCGTTATTTTTTTTCGACTACAAAAGCCGATATTCTTTGTTTTTCTAGTTTGAGAATTTAAATGTCAATAGAAAAATGAAAGTTGGTGATTGAAAGAACTCGAAAAGTAGAGGAATCAGGTGCATCTACAGGTTGAACATCTCATTTTAAGGGAAGACTTTTGCCACCAAGAGAAAATACGGAGTTTAGCTAGCTATAAAACCATGCAGGTTTAATCCACCACTTTCTACATCAGGAAATGCCTGTACCAAGTCAGGAATATGACAGTTGTTTTCCATTCGTTTTTTTGTGTTTGAGCTTTTGATTTTGCCATTTGATTAAAGAACTTTCTATTTTGAATTTTCCTTGAAGTTCGGTATTTTTGTTATTTTACTTTTTTTTTGTAATGATCACCAAATGAGTAAATAAATATTTTTTTATTATTCAACTCTATTTTCCTAATTTGTTATCTATTTCAAAACAAAATCCCGTTATCTCATCCTTCATTTTACGTTTCCAGCCCTTGTCCTACCGTATTCCTACAGTTCCCACTAGTCGTGGCAACTATCTAATCACCTGACCAGGTTTGGGATTAAGATCTGCGATTTTTCCTTTTTGTCAGATATTTTAAGTGCTTCGTACCGATCTGATGAATCCAGGCATTCTCAACTGATTTTACAGTTTGTTCTTATGTTGTGTTGCTACTCCATTGTCCCAGGTAAGGGTAGGGTGTAGCGCTTAAAAAAACATGTTTTACCCAGCACATTCTGTATATCCATGTCTCAAGTCAAGAGCCTGTAATTCATAGGTTGTCGTTGGTTGCTGTTTGTTATATCTGTTAATCGTTTATTTATTTGTCATAAATTAGGCCGCTGGTTTTTTTGTGTGAATTGTTTCACGTTTTGTCATGTCAAGGCCTTTTGTAGCTAACTATACGGTATGGGTTTTGCTCAGTGTTAAAGGACGTACGGTGACCTTATATTTCTTGAATCAACGTCTTGGACTCTGTTGGATAGTTGTCCCATTAACAATTATATAATATCTCCTTATTTTATATATTTTGGCGAGATAGACATCTTTGGGGGTAGGGGTATGGGTAGGGATAGACGCGTTTGAAATTGGCAGATCACTGTTATAAATCAAAATAGAAAAAAAACAGCATGACACGGGTTATGTTCTTCTCATATATGTTATGATGGTATGATACTAAACCCCTAACGGGAAGGATTGTGCCTGATATTCATATGATGAAGACATAATCTTTCAATCAGTTTAATTGAAGTCTGGAGCTGGCATGTCAGTTAACTGCTAGTAGTCTGTTGTTATTTATGTATTATTGTCATTTTGTTTATTTTCTTTGGTTACATCTTCTGACATCAGACTCGGACTTCTCTTGAACTGAATTTTAATGTGCGTATTGTTATGCGTTTACTTTTCTACATTGGCTAGAGGTATAGAGGGAGGGTTGAGATCTCATAAACATGTTTAACCCCGCCGCATTTTTGCGCCTGTCCCAAGTCAGGAGCCTCTAGCCTTTGTTAGTCTTGTATTATTTTTAATTTTAGTTTCTTGTGTACAATTTGGAGTTTAGTATGGCGTTCATTATCACTGAACTAGTATATATATTTGTTTAGGGGCCAGCTGAAGGACGCCTCAGGGTGCGGGAATTTCTCGCTGCATTGAAGACCTGTTGGTGGCCTTCTGCTGTTGTCTGTTCTGTGGTCGGGTTGTTGTCTCTTTGACACATTCCCCATTTCCATTCTCAATTTTATTATCTTGAATTTTTCAACTGGAATCACATATACATTTTAAACCGAAATAACTTGCGTCGGAGTTATACGAAGAGTTAATTATTTTGTTTGTTTGTTTGCGGTTTTTCTTGCATTGCCATCGATGGTCTTACTATGTGCATATAATAATAAAGACACCAAGTGACCTCTTCTAAACTTTATATCCACCATTATTTGGAGATATACACCTTCTTGCATGTCCAACACACACACAAAGGCTTAGAGGTCGGTGTGTCGCTACAAGCACAATACGCCTAGGTATTCAAATACTACTTTAGCGACATGTAAAATTTTATCCCGTAATTAAAACCACCATGCTTTCACATATTGAAATAAAGAAACTGATGATATCATTATCGTGCATTTAGTGTGTGTTTCTGGATTTTTGTTGTTATCAGCAACGCTCCAGACCAAAGGTTTGGGCAACAATTTAGCAATTATGTGGTAATTTGGATATGCAATTGTGCTAATTGTTAACTTGATGATATCGATTTTATTATATGAAGATTTGTATGTTAGCAGTTTGAAAGGTATTATAACTATCATATTTTTAATTATGTATTTTTAGGGTTTGTCACAAGCTTTGATCATTTGTTTATTATTGTATTTCGGATTTAGTCTTACTTGCTTTGGGAAAATATTTGACAATGCGTAAGTATCAATTTCTAAACACGTCAGAAAATGTTCAAAATTTATGAAATACAAAAACTCTTTATGTCCATCTGTGCTTTTACCATTACACGACGTGATATTTTATTATATGGTGTTAGTTTACCTTTATATATTGTGAAACCATTATCTTCAAAACGTTGTACCCGCGCTCCAAGGTGCAACTCTAGTATAATCTCCCAATGTCTCAAACGACAGATACAGATTTGAGCGGAGATATGTGATAATTTCATAGAAACGAATCGAAATTAGCTATTTGACGAAAAGAGTAATCGGTCTTATCGGTATTCTGTTCATTGACCATACTAATGACAAAAGCGCATACGTATAAGAGAAATATGATTTGACCGCATATAAAGGACAAAAACGAACCACATTATTTTATAATGTTAACAGTATATACATTGATGACAAACCATATCATATAATAATGTTTGCATATAATATAAGGGAAAGTGAACATCATATTAAGAACTACTAATATGAGAAAATAATATAAAGGAAGAGTGCAAATAACACGAAAACATCTGCACATCATTTATATTCAAGTGCTCATGAAACGTCATTTGAAGACAAAAACATATAAGGACAAAAATCAAAGCACACAGTAAAACACGGATCATATAATGAAAAGTGGACATGGTAAAAAAAAAGTATGTATGCTATGTACATAATATGATGATATTTTAACATCATATAAAGGTGATTTCACATTTTATAATGACAAGTGGACATCATATAATGTCGTTCCCACATCATATAAAGTTAAAAGTCTCACCATATAATTGAAAAATCACATCATTTAAAGGTAAAAGGATACCATATAATGAAAATGCACGTATATAACACAATTATGACGTTCCATGATAAATTGTGTGTATTCCATTATGCGTTTGTTGCTCAACTCTATTCACCTGTTTTCCGTCCGTCCGTTGTTCATGTGTTTATACTGCTACTTACACAGCACTTCTTTTTGAAAAAAAAATTAATGAGTCGAAGGAGACATTAAAACTCATAAGTCGACGAGAAACGGACAAAGTCATTGCAAACAATGAAAGACGACGAAAGACAAACGAGTCAACAAAACATTACAAAAAAAATAGACAAAAACATGAACCACACCAAAATTTTTGGGTGATCTCAGGTGCTCCGGCAGGGTAACCAGAGATGCTGCTTCACTTATGGCTCTCGTCATTTTGCTCATGGTAAGTTGAAATTCGGTGACGAGTCTCATTTGGTAAGGTCACAATTGAGGAAATGAGAACGGGATTGTGGTTACGACAATTGGAATATATACGTGGTCATGTGTGACATAGATATTTTTTAATGGCCAACCAACTTGTGATGGCATCCGTAAAACTTTAGAAGGGATAACTTTAATTACTGCCTTAAACCTTGGTTCAATAGCTTTCTTGTAAACAGCAACTCTCGACCTGAAATATCGTTTGTACTGGAAATGTTGTTACCTAGAAATTGAAAATTGATGATTGGGAAGCTACGTAAAATCATCCCTTTTGTCGTCAAGTTTTGTTCTCAACCGACTCCCATTTATTGTTCATTTCTAGATGTAAGTCAAGATATGAAGCAGACTTAACTGTATCTGTGGTATCTTTTATTTCAAGTTCGATGCAAAAAATGTGTGTAACATAGTCACCAAACTGTGACGAGCATTGCGCATTGAGATATATAAATTTTTGCATTTATTTATTTCATATAATTGCTGTAGCATCCGTTTATATGAAATGCAATAAGTATTTAAGCCAGTTTCCATCAGTTATTTGCTAGTATGTATCGAAATTTCCAAATTGTTTAATGTTTTTGGATACGTATAAAAATAAGGAGTTGAGACAATTATTCCCAAAGATGAAAGTACAACGATGTAAATAATTCATTACTGGTATAAAACTTAGGAGATATAGTATGATTGTGAATGAGAAAACGTACCAATCAAAGGTTATGAGGTTGTAAACAACTATAAGTCACCGTACGCCATTCAATAATGAATAAAAAAAAACTCAACATATAATAAGCTTTAAAGGTCCCCAGGATAAACAATGTAATCAAAAAGAAAACCACCAACTAGATTTGAGTAAGTAGCATTAAGTGAAAAACATTAGGCTCCATGTTTCTGACTTGGGACATGCTCATAAGGAATGTGGTAGGGTTTAACACCTTGGGGAACGATCAACACCCCTAACCTTGGAACAGTGGTGTTATAACAATAACATTAACGATACCAATTTGAACGCACCAGTAAAACAACATTAAAAAAATGTGAAAAGGGGTTGACCCAACTGATCGGTTCTAAGCACAAACACAATCAAAAGACAAAAAGTATCGATCTAAAAGTACTCGCACTTACTGAGAGCTAGTTCAAGATCAGTTTTAACTAATCAATAAACCGTTGTCAAAGCGAGCAGCACCCATAGAAATGTCAATCTTCAGCTCAATGTCGTTCAAAATACAACTTTGGCTTTGTAAACAAAGCCATGTTATTATTAAAAAAATAAAAAAGAAACACAATGGGTACATATGCATGACCTCGTCAAAGTTTCAAAATTCTCCATATATTTAAGGGTCACTGGATTGTATACAAAATAAAATATCAAATACAACAATTTAGAAAAAAAAACGTCTCCAAAAGAAACATGATAGAGAAATAAAAATATAATCAACATAACTTTAGTTGTGTTCTACATTCTTATTTAAATATTGTTCTATTTACAGACCAGGGGCTGTGTATTGCGAGATTACACGATGTGGTGCATCGTTATTACTGGATTGGGTGATGTGCTTTTTTGAAGTATATCAACCAAGCGATCGTCCAGAAAGTGTCATGTTACTACAGATGCTATTCTTTATAAGTATAGTGTCCATCATGCTTCTGTTCACAATAAGGAAGGACAAAACAGCTTGAATCAGTGCATAACAAGATTATTTCAAAGAAATTATAATCTAAACACAACAGGTTCTTTTCAGTGATATCAATTTAACGGGTGAAATATATTGTTATGGTTGTTTTCACAGAATTTGTCAATTTCAACAAATGTGATAATTCATCAAACCCTAAAAAGTTGATTAACTTAGTTAATTTAAAATTCCTGAGGTAATTTAACAGTGATCAAATATATTTGAAAGACACGTGCACGTTTCCTTAAAAACGCCCTTTTATTGTTAATAAAATCATGCAATACTGATTTCAGTTCGCAGAATACATGTCAATGCAAATGTTTAAGAAACCAAATACTCCGAACGTATCTAGTGCATCAAAAACAAAAAGAACATAAACAGAACAAATAACAGAAAAGCTATAACAGCTAATGTGTCAACTTTCCCTATTAGAACAGAAACTATAATTGTTTTATTACAATTACTGTAATCCTTTGGTACTGAACAGTTCACTATCCGCGGAAACAACTCAGTGATTGTAATACAAACCTTAATCAATAACATGATGGCGATATTTGAAGCTATACTTGAATAATTTAAAATCTACATTAAAAATGAATATGAACAATAACTTGTGTATTGATTGACAATATTACTGATGTGAAAGTTATTACCCAAATAACTCCTGGGATGTCACCCTGTCTTCTACAGTATGTAATAATTCTGACTGTTTATTTTCCCGTTATTACACTTTATAGTAATTAGATTAAAGAATTACATACACTACCAAGTGCCAAAATGTGTTTGTCTTTGTTTGATATATTTGTTATTATCATTGATTTTGTATTGCGATGCATTTTTTGTTAATTTCCATCTGTTATTTTAATAAAATTGCAGCTTCATCAAATAGCGAAGAATCATAATATTTTATTAAACATGTATTCATAACAAATATTAATGAATGGAATGGGATAATTGTCAGTTCGTGAATAAAAGAAAATATCAATCAAGTAATTTAGAATATTATACAATGCTCATCTGTGCTTATAACAAAACCATACGAGTAGCTGCTTAAATTAATTATGTGTTATACAGAATTACAGAATTTTATTGAAAGTATTTAATCAAAAATATGTGCTGACTTACGAGATATATTAAACATGATAAGTGCTATTTAATTTTTGTACTACTGACATCAATAAGTGTTCTACTTTTTTGTTTAGCTTATCTGTATTAATAAATATTTTTAGATTACAATGGGAGTTTCATGTTAACTTTTCCTAATCTGACTGCCTTCTCCGATGGCAAGTAAAGGGATATTTTATTCTTCAGTTTCTTCTCGCATATACATCTATCTGTTCTCACTTTGCTTTATGCTCTACTTTACCTAGATTTATAGAAATGGCGAAAAAATTAAATCATATAATTTTTAATAGAAATTCAAGTCAGCATACTCTTTTAAAAACAAGTGATCTAAACACAAACATTTAAATAATTGTTTGAATCAGATCAGTTAAAGCATTTATAAAAATGAATACATCGGGAAGACCTTTTCTTGAGTTACCTTCATCTGGAACGCTCAAAGCCGAATATTTGAAAGCCAATGATGTACACGGAACAGTTAAAGCGTTATATGAACAAAAAGGACTTACAATGTAACAATAATAGGTAAATTCATCTGAGGTCAACTTTGCACGAGGGAATTGATTTCTTTGTAATTTCTCAATTTGTATGTATGGAAAATTTGATTACTGGAAAACAAAAGTACTATATGTATGAGTAAAGCTCACAAATGTGAATTGATCATAATAAAAGTTAGTTATTTTATCGCAATAAAAGTTTATTATTTGCTTCAGTAACCCCCCTCCCCCCCAAAAAAAAGAACAAACCTTCTGATAAAAATAAAAAGAGGAGATGAACAGTCGCAGTATATGGTTAAGAGTCGTAGCAATTTTTAACTAATTCTAATTAGGCTTTTGTTGGAGAATTTGCGGATGCAAAACAGTTACCCCGCTTCCAGATAAAGCAATGACATAGTCTATAATGTTTTAAGGGTATCTTCTTAACCCCCCTCTTTTCCCAAAACAAATGGATAAAAACAAAATTTTAGGTGCATAATGGCCTTATATGTTGAAAGTAATGATAACGTTTCATTAAATCCTAATAAGGCGTTTAGGGGAAGCAGATATAAATGTTTACTGCAGTTTGCGGATAACAAAGAGTTCAAGGAAAACCCAAAAACCTCATGAGGATAAAAATTGAATAAGGTGCAAACATTTATTATTTTAGTAAGATTCTGTGGAATTAAAAATAATGTTCAAGAGGTTTAGAACCTGTAGCAGATATGAAAATGGGACGGAAGGATGAACGGAGAAGCCACTATATCAAATTATATGGTCCGCTTTAAAAAGGAGAGTGTGTAGTATATACTAGTATTCAACACCACTAAATAATATTCTGATTTATGCTTGTAAATGTTTATATTTTTAAAGATACAATTACTTTACCCAAGTTCATTTCCGTTATTTTAAAATTAGATACCTCGCATTTATCGCTTTTCACATCTTACACCGTCCATTGAATTATGTCCCATATTTTCTGTACCGATTAATGCAGCCGTGAAATACACGAAAATGGGTAATTATCCGCCCATCAAGATACATATGTTGTTGATGTAAAAAATCATGACTATGGATCTACTGACATCATTATGCATGTAAGAGATCGACCAAGCTGTCAATTTCTTTGCCAAATGATATGAGTGACGGCAATGTTTGTACACTTCATTGAAAAACATTGGCGCATTTAGCAAAACGAACCCGATCAAAAACCAGTGTTATGCTCAGGTACTCTGGAAAGGTACTTGTTATCAATCCCCAGTGATCATAATGAAAACGTCGTGTTTCGATAACAAGTCACAAATGGAGATAACGCATCATATAAAGGCTATTTTTGTACGTGTATTTGAGCAAATTTAGTCACACAAAACCTGGAAAATGAACTTAACAGAATTTTTAATATATATAATTTAAGAGTAAAACATATATTAATTATCATCTACGTTTCAATTATAAAGTTTTTTGTGGAGATAATTGAAAGAGCAAACCAATAGGAAATGCCTGATGGCAAATGTCGATTAATAGCAGTTAGCTTGGCATTAAGTATAGTTTGTTTTATATACAGAAAGTATTTGAATGATATAGCACGTCTGTATATCATGCTGTTTTATAAAAAGCTAAACAACTGTTTAAAAAAACGTGTATTTGAGCAAATTTAGTCACACAAAACCTAGAAAATTAACTTAACAGAATTTTTAATATATATAATTTGAGAGTAAAACATATATTAATTATCATCTACGTTTCAATTATGAAGTTTTTTGTGGATATAATGGAAAGAGCAAACTAAAAGGAAATGCCTGATGGTTAATGTCGATTAATAGCAGTTAGCTTGGCATGAAGTAAAGTTTTTTTCATATACAAAACGTATTTGTATGATATAGCACGTCTGTATATCATCCTATTTTATAAAAAGCTAAACAGCTGTTTAAAAAAACTCATAAAAATACCAGGCTTATAATTTGGTAAGCCAGACGCGAGTTTCGTCTACATAGGACTCACCATTGGCGCTAGAAACATATCAGTTGAAAGGTCAAATTATATACGAAGTTGAAGAGGATTGAAAACTGAAAATTCTGAAAGGTTGTGCCAAATACGCTTAAAGTAATCTATGACTTGTGGTAGAGCCCTAGTATTTTGAGTATTTCAACATCTTAAAAAACAGTAGATTTACAGAAAACAAATAACATTAACGGTACCACTTTTATTGCACCGAATGCAATATGAAGTATAGTACTTGTGAACACAAAAGTGCTGATTACTGGGCATGTGATACCCTCGGAGAAGAAACGTCCACCAACAGTGACATCGACCCAGTAATTGTAAAAGCTCATCAAAGATACCAGGCTTTGAATATGGAAGCCAGACTCGCGTTATCAAAAGATACCAAGCTTATAATTTTGTACGGCAGACGCGCATTTTTAATTTAGTATCTTGGTATCATATATAAGCGTAGTGAATCAATCGAATTACCCAATAGGCATATTTTCATTCGTGTTTCAGAAATAAATAACGTTATTGAAATAGATACTTATTATGTCTTTCCGTGGAATGACCTTAAGAAAATTGTACTACTTTTTACTACCACATTATCAACTTTTTCGTGGAAAAACCTTAAGCCATCTTTTTGTTTATCATTAGGTAGGGGTGCAGAAGTCAACATTGTGTTAATCTTAATCACAATAAAAACAAACAAACATGCCAACAAAAAAAATCAAAATGGAATATAGACAAAGCACATAAGCAAAAATGAATGACTAGAATATCAAAAATGACCATAGCACAATAACACAATGGTGGGATGTATAAGTACCGAGCCACGCCAAAAGGATATTACCAAAAAATGGACTAAACAGTAAAGGTTAATAATTTACAAAGACAAATAAAAGAACACTATAACACGCAATTAAGATCAATGAGTTAAAGAGTCAAGTTAAAGGTAGATACTTGTCGGTTTAGGTTCGAATCCCTGTATTCTCTTTGTTGTCCCTATTCTTTCGTTTTTTTCGTTTATATTATTGTCTATGTTACTTTGGATATTTTTGTAGTAATAGCGGGTTTTCCCGTTGATTTTTGGATTATTATTGGCATTTTTCACATATTTGAAAAGAAATTTATTACATCTCATTTTCTCAGCAACTACATATCTGAGCTTTTTGAAATTTGATATCAAGCTTCATATTGGAAAGCTATATCGTTAACACAATTTTTTATATTTTCATATTGCTGCTTACACAGCACTTTTTTCTGAAAACAAGAGGTGAACGATGCGAAAAGGACATTCAAATCGTAGAAAAGTTGTCAAAGTCATTGCAAACAATTATTATGCAAGACGATGAAAAACAAACAAGACCACAAAACATTAAAAAAGAAAGACATAACATGAACTCCACCAAAAACTTTGGGTGATCTCAGGTGCTCCGGAAGGGTAACAAGAGATGCTACTTCAGTAATTGCACTCGTAATGTTGCTCGTAGTAAGCACACATTCAATGATGAGTCCAATTCGGTGATGTCACAATCAAGGAAGCGAGAACGGGATTGTGGTTACGACAATTGGAACATATTCGTGGTCATGTGTGACATAGATACTAGTATTCTTTTAACAGCCAACCATCTCGTAATGGCGTTCGTGGTCATGTGTGACATAGATACTAGTATTCTTTAACAACCAACCAACTCGTAATGCCGTAAAGAGGATGAATTTAATTACCGCCTTAAAACTGTGGTTCAATATCTTCCCTGTAAACAACAACCTTGGTATATCATTTGAGCAGGGAGAT